GTGTTTTTAAAAAACCTTAGCAGTGTATAAAAACCTTTAGGAAATGTATAAAAATTTCCCTTTAGAAATGTATAAAATCCTTCAGAAGTGTATAAAAACCCTTTAAAGTGTATAAAATCCTTTAAAAAGTGTTTAAAACCCTTCAGGAAAATGTATAAAATCCTTCAGCAGTTTTATAAAAAAACCCCTTTAGACGGGGTACTAAACCTTCAGAAGTGTTCAAAAAAACCCCAGGGTTTTAAAAAATCCTTCAGACGTGTACAAGAAGTGGTGGGGGTGATGGGGGTGGTGTGGTGGTGGGTGGGGGTGGTGGTGGTGGTGGTGGTTGGTGGTGATGGGGGGGTGGTGGGAGGTGGTGGTGGTGGTGGTGATGGTGGTGGTGGTGATGGTGGTGGTGGGGGATGGTGGTGGGGGTGGTGGTGGTGGTGGTGAGGGTGGTGGTGGTGTGTGGTGGTGGGGGTGATGGGGGTGGGGGTTTTGGGTGGGGGTGGTGATAATGTGGTGAGGTTTTAGCAGGGGAGGGGGGTAGTGGTGGGGGTGAGGTAGTAGTGGTAGTAGTGTGTTCGTGGTGTTGGGGTGCTGTTGTTGGTGTAGGTGGTGGTGGTGTTGATGGTGGGGTGAGATGGGGTGATGGTTTTTGTGGTGATGGTGGTAGTGGTGATGGTGATGGTGGGGGTGTGGTGGTGGTGGGGGGTTGGTGGTGTGGGGTGGTGATGGTGTTGGGGGGGGGGGGTGGTGATTGGTTTGATGGTGGGGTGGTGGTGGCCCTGGTGGTGGTGGTGGTGGGGTGGTGTTGATGGTGGTGGTGGTGTGCACATGATGCAGACTCATAAGAAAGGAACACTGAGCGGCCCATGCAGGGTTCTCTTATGAGTCACGCGTCAGTGTTGCTTTGTTTTGGGGTTGATAGTGGGGGTTTGGGGCTAGCCCTTTTATATCTTCCTTTGAGCTTTTATTTTATTTTCCCTTGATAATGTGAGTAGTTCCAAAAGCGTTTGGGAATTTCTCTATTCTTTCCAGTGGTTGTTTTGCTATTCTAAAATCCCTTTTTACTGGATCTTATTGCATGTTATTATTATATTATATATATATATATATATTTTTTAAAAATTTATATATATATTTATATTATTTTTATATATTATATTATATTTTATTATCCAGGGCCTATTCCCACAAGGGGGGGGCCCCGAAAAAGAAAAATTTTTTCACCTCTTCACCCCTCATGCCTTGCCAGAGGGTTTGCTTTCACTACAGTTTTAAACTGCAATTTTTTAAAAATTTATATATATTATAATTTATATTTATATATATTTATATATATATATATATTATTTTTTTATATATTATATTATTATATTTTATTTTAAAATATATATTATATGATTGTCTGGTATTTGGTTGGTAGACAGAAACCCCCAGGGAAGTACTACCTTCCGGCGTGTGTGAAACAAAAACCTGTAACTGTTTTGCTGTGGGAGGATTTTCTGGTTTCTTTTTTTGTTCATAAACACGCTAAGTAACAGGGATATCTTGCTACTCTATTACACTTTTTGGGCACACTTCACAGCACGCCCCTGCATATATTAAAAAATACATTAGGTTTTCTCCTTTTTTTAAATGTCTTTTTCTTTTTTATTTTTCTATTGTCCATGGGGAAGTGGAAAAAAAATCTTTCCTCCGAAACCCTGCGTGTCGTATGAGGCGACTAAAATCCGGGGCAATGGGCTAGTAACCCCCCTCCTGTTAAAAAATTTACTAAAAAGAGAGAAGAAAACTTTATAAAATGGGTTGCTTAAATGTGCGTGGATGTAGTGCGGAGACAAGAAACAGATGATTGCGATGTTTTAATGAAAAAAAGTTGGAGTCCCGGCCCTAGCGAAAAAAGCTGAAGGGGGTAGGAGAGTTTCGTGGGGGGGAAAAAATGGGGTTAAATTGGGTATCTGGGAGTTAGAGCAAAGGAAAGGGGGAGCGTAATGTTAAATGATCAGTATGGAAGGAGGGAAAAGGAATTTAAAGTGTAAAAAACAAGAATTATGGGTTAAAGAAAAGGGTTTGGAGGAAAAGGGTGGGTCATAATAAGGTGTATGCCCCGGAGAAGAGGGAAATGCAGAGGAGAGAGAGGTTTTTTGGGAGATGTTAAGTGAAGTAATAGGAAAACCTTTTAACCCAAGTGAGAGAGAAATTGTGGTAGGGGATTGAATGCAAAGTAGGGGAAAACTTTTAGGGGGTTTTGGGTAGGAAAAGTTTGGGGTGCCAGGTGAAATGAAATGGGGCCCTTTGATTGAACTTTGTATAGAAGGGGTTTAGTTATAGGTAATACATTTTTAAGAAAAAGAGGATAAATAAAGTATACACGATAGTGTAGGGCGAAATGACAGTGTTTGTTGGATTATGTTTGGTAATAAAAGATGTTTAGAGACTTCAGGTGTAATGTTTATAGAGGGGCCACAGATATATCAGTCATTTTAGTTGTAGCTACAGAGGTAAAAGGTAGTGGGATACAAAGGGGAAAAAGAAACATCAGGGAAGAGAGAGGTGAAGGTTTATAAACTAAAAAAGGGGCAGTTTTGGGAAGTAAAAGCATTTGGGGGATAGATGGGTAATGAGGCTAGGAAGGGGTCGAAGAGGTATGGGGTTTGGGTTTTTAAAAAAAATAGTGTTAAGGGGTTAGCAGAAAATTTGTGGTTACAGGAAAGTGGGTGAGGAGGGAAGAGGGCGATTGGTGGAAAAGATGATGTAAAGAGGTAGTAAGGGAGAAAAAAATTTGATATGAGATTTTTTTAAAAGTAGAAGTGATGAAGGGGGAAGGTTATGGGGAAAAAGAGGAATTAAAAAGGGGTGGTTTTGGGAAAGTAAAGGAGCAAATGAGAGAGTGGGTGGATGTTATCAACAAATTTTGTTGAAAATAAGAAAAAGTTTGGAGTGAGATTAAAAAGTTAAAAAAGCCTAGAGAAAAAATGGATTTGTCATTAAAAATGGAGAGGGGTTATTAAAAGGAGGTTAGGGTATTGGGGAAAATGGAAGGAAAAATTTTGGGAAAATTGTTAAATGTTGATGAAGATGGGGAAGCTGTGATTTCGGTTAGGGCAAGGAGGAAAACATCTTGTAGGAGGGGGAAAGAGCCCGGGTTGTGGTGTGGGGGGAAGTTCGTGAGGCAGTAGGTAAAATGAAAGGGGGTAAGGCGGGCCGGGATTGATGGGAAAAAGATAGAAATTTTTTAAAAGCAGGGGGGATATAGTTTTGGGTGGTTGGGGGAAATTTTTTTTTAAAAAATGTATGGAAGGGAAAGGTCCCTGGGGTTTGGCCCAGAGGGGCATGCTTTAGTTCCTTTGTATAAAGGCAAAGGGGATAAAAAAAGAGTGCAAAAATTAAAAGGGGGGATAAGTCTGTTGAGTGTCCCTGGTAAAGTGTATGGTAGAGTTATTTTGAAAAAATTTAAGAGTAAGACGGGTTTGGATAGCAAAAGAACAAGGAGGTTTTAAAGGAAAGGTTTAGGGGGTGTTGGACCAGGTGTTTACAGTGAAACATATAAGTGAACAGTATTTAGATAAGGTTTAAAAAGAGGTCTTTTTGGCATTTAGGGTTTTGGGAAAAAAGGCGTTTTGACGGGGGGATAGGGGGGCAATGTGGAGTTGTTGCAAAGTTTTTTGGTTTTTTGGGGGTTTAGGTTACAAAAGCAGTAAAGAGTTTTTACGGGATAGTGGGCTCAAGTTAGATATGTAGGAAAGAGGGTTTTTTTTCCCCAGAAAAAGTGGGCCTAGAAAAGGATGTGTGATGTCACCGGGTTGTTTAATTATTTATAGAGGGGGGTTGTAAGAGAAGAAAATTTGCGAGGGTTTGGCAAGGGCGTGGGTTTAAAAAAGTTTAAAGAATCCACACAAAGTGGGAGTTGTCACAGTTGTCTTTGCTGATGACACTGTGCTTTGGGAGTTTAAAGGGGAAGGGTTGAGAGATTGGTGGTTTGAATTTGGTAGGGTTTGTCCCAAAAGAAAAAAAAATTAAAGGTGGGAAAACCCGGAAAGGAAAGGTTATGGGGAAATAACAAAAAGATTGGGTGAGGGAAAGGATTAAATTTTCCCGATTGGGGGGAAGAGAGTATGGAGGAGGTAAACCCGTATTCAAAAATATTTGGGAGGGGGACGGGGTCGCGGATGGGTTAGGGAAAGTTTGGGGTTTTAATCATGGGAATTTGATGGGGGAAAAAGAGTGGGGGGTCCCCTTAGGAGTCTGTGGAGACAAAGAATTTTGGCCCTTTTGGAGGCAAAGAGGGGAATGTTGGGGGAGTTTTTTAGTTTTACCAACGCTCTTATTGGGGGTAAAAGCGTGGGTGATGAATTTTGGGCAGCGAGGAGAAGGCGGGAAAGGCAGTGGAGATGCAGTCTGGGGCAATGTGTGGTGTGAATATAATGAGAGGAATTCAGTAGTTTGGGAAGTTAGGGGGAGGTGCGGGGGTTACCAAAACTGTTGTCCAGGGGCTGGGAAGGGTTGTTTAGGTGGGTTTTGGAAATGTAGAGAGAATGGAGCGAAACAGAATGACTTCAAGGGTGTTCAAATCTGTTGTGGAAGGAAGGCGGGGTAGGGGTCGGGCCCAGGAAGGGTTGGAGGGAGGGGGTTAAAGGGGGTTTTGTTGGGGCGAAAGGGGGTTTGGGCTTCCCGCAGGCATGCGTGAGGGGGGGGTTTTAATAGGATTTAATGGGGGACAAATGGTTTTTAATATTTACGTGCTGGGTTTTTGGGGTGTGAGCAAAGTTTAAAATTTTTGAAGGGGTTCAGGGAAAAACCCGGGAGGGCCCGGCCCTTTAGTCCCGGAGATGGGAAGTACAGTGCCTGCACTCTGAAGGAGGGGGGGGTTAATGTTGAGTTTAAAAACTGTTTGTGTAAAGCACCCTTCTGGAAGCATTTTATGGAGTGAATGATGGTGAAAGTTTTTCTTTTTCGGGCCCCCCGCCTTGGGGGGAATCGGCCGGTTTGATAAAAATAAAAATAATAAAAAAATGTCTTGCTTCGGCCCGAAATATATAAAATTGGAACGAAACAGAGAAAATTGCAAGGCCCCTGCGCAAAGGGGTGGCACGCCAAATGTTTAAGGGGTTTTCCACATTTTTTGGGGTTTGGCCGGGTGGGGCCCGGTGGCTTTAAAAATCCGCCCTTTAAAACACGGAGGGGGCCCGGGGGTTTGGGTTCCCCGGGGGGTGGAAAATTTCGACACGTTTCCCCTTTCACCTGTTTTCCTTTTTCACCTGGGAGCCAAATAGGTAGCTGGGTGTTAGTCGACTGGTGTGGGTCGCATCCTGGGGGACAAGATTAAGGACCCCAATGGAAATAGTTAGACAGTCCTCGATGACGCACTGACTTTCTTGGGTTATCCTGGGTGGCTAACCCTCCGGGTTAAAAATCCGAACGAAATCTTATCTTATCTTATATATATATATATATATATATATATATTATATATATATATATATATATATATATATATATATATATATATATATATATATATATATATATATATAGTACACACACACCACACGCAAACTTCCAGTTGTGATCCCTTGATGCTGCGTCCAATCTCTGGACAATCCTGTCTATCACAAGGTGGACAGAGACAGAATGTGACTCAGATGAGTCACAGGGATGTTAAGAAGTAAGGAATCATTCAAGACTCTGTACACCGTGTACATCAGACCCTTACTGGAGTACGCAGCACCACTTTGGAATCCACACCTGGTCAAGCACGTCAAGAAAGTGCAAAGGTTTTGCAACAAAACTAGTCCCAAAGCTAATGGTATTGTCCTCCAGTTACCTGACTACACTGGAGGACAGGAGGGTCAAGAGAGACATGATAATGACATATAAAATACTGCTAGGAATTGACAAGGTGGACAAAGGGATGTTAGGAAGTATTTCTTCAGTCACAGAGTTGTCAGTGACGTAGTGGAGGCGGGAATCATACATAGTTTTAAGACGAGGTTGATAAAGCTCATGAAGCAGGGAGAGAGAGACCTAGTAGCGATCAGTGAAAAGGCGGGACCAGGAGTTGTGAATCGACCCCTGCAACCACAAATTGGTGAGTACACTCACAAACACACACACACACACACACCTGCAGCATATGGGCGCCTAGCAAACCTGAAAACAGCATTCCGACATCTTAATAAGGAATCATTCAGGACCCTGTACACCGTGTACGTTAGGCCCATATTGGAGTATGCGGCACCAGTTTGGAAACCACACCTAGCCAAGCACGTAAAGAAACTAGAGAAAGTGCAAAGGTTTGCAACAAGACTAGTCCCAGAGCTAAGAGGTATGTCCTACTAGGAGAGGTTAAGGGAAATCAACCTGACGACATTGGAGGACAGGAGAGATAGGGGGGACAGATAACGACATATAAAAATACTGAGAGGAATTGACAAGGTGGACAAAGACAGGATGTTCCAGAGATTGGACACAGTAACAAGGGGACACAGTTGGAAGTTGAAGACACAGATGAATCACAGGGATGTTAGGAAGTATTTCTTCAGCCACAGAGTAGTCAGTAAGTGGAATAGTTTGGGAAGCGATGTAGTGGAGGCATGATCCATACATAGCTTTAAGCAGAGGTATGACAAAGCTCACGGTTCAGGGAGAGTGACCTAGTAGCGACCAGGCGCTAGGAACTCGACCCCTGCAACCTCAATTAGGTTAGTACACACACACACACACACACACACACACACACACACACACACACACACACACACACACATGTACATCACTTAAACAATAAATATGAAAAAATAATTATCATAAATTTTTATCATTTTTATATGCCTAAACAAAGCATCAGCAGTTTGTATTTGATATTTTATGAATAACAGAGAATTGTAAACACTATTACATAAATAATCGTGTTATTCTATATTAAAATACTGAAAAGACAATATTCCTGCAGTATGAATTGATTTGTTTGTACTATGAGATATTTTTCCCTGCAGGACCGTGTGATGGTCTCACTCACGTCACTGCTGGTCCTGGCCGCTCTCTTCTCACAAACAAGTCAAGCCATCCCCAAGACTGCATATCTCAAGCTCATAGATGTCTGGTTTGTCTTTCTTATTGTCGTGGAATTCACTGTAGTCCTCATCTTAGTAATCACAGAGAATCTACGATATAGGATAGGCAAAGTTCCTCCCAAGAATGTAAAGGTGATATCAGGACCCACATCATTTGGGCAGAATTTCATGACTCTGCCAGTTGCTGTAGACAGTAAGGACGTTCATCAGTGTGCCATCATGATGAACAAGGTAGCCCAGGTTACTCTGCCAGTTCTTGTCATTCTGTTTATTGTGGGTTATTTCATCGTCTGCTTTGTTTTTTTTCTAAATGTCTGAAATTTAATCATTGTCTTGGTGTGTAGATAAATTGTTCAGAGGACCGACGAGTGGATAAACTAGACACATTGTAATACTTGGTATCTTTGGTGTGGAGACGTATCGTCACACAGTGGCTTCATCTGTCCAATGCTAAAATGAAAAGTAAAGATCAGAAGGAGATTGAGATAATCAGTCCCTCAGCCTGTAGTCAACGTAATCTGTACATCAAGATTAATGGACTGATTACATTGACTCCAGGCTGAGGGACTGATTATATCGACTCCAGACTGAAGGACTGATTACATAGACTCCAGACTGAGGGACTGATTACCTCAATCTCCTTCTGATCTTCACTTTCCTTCTTTCTATTGGACTGATGAAGCCACTTTGTGGTGATACGTTTCCTCACTAAAGATACCCAAGTGCTGCTCATGTGTCTAATTTATCAGCTTGGTCTTAGTGAAATATACTGACAAACACACAGTAATGAATTCGTCAAAATAATGACACCATAACTTGAAGAGTTAAATAATATGTTAATCAGTGTATTAATAAGATTTATAGTGAATAAGAAATAATTAACTTGTATAAAGTTTTAATCTCTCACTGTTAAAAATAGTTTTTTAGAATTGTTATTGATTTTATATAATTAATGATTAATTAATTCTCTAAGCACTATAAATAACATAGAAATAACGGTGCGGTGGTTGGGAAAATTCTCAACAAGCTATCAGTCTGAAGGAAGTCCATCAGATGCAGTGACTCAGAAGACACATCATCTGATGCAGTGACTCAGAAGACACATCATCTGATGCAGTGACTCAGAAGACACATCATCTGATGCAGTGACTCAGAAGACACATCATCTGATGCAGTGACTCAGAAGACACATCATCTGATGCAGTGACTCAGAAGACACATCATCTGATGCAGTGACTCAGAAGACACATCATCTGAAGCAGTGACTCAGAAGACACATCATCTGAAGCAGTGACTCAGAAGACACATCATATGAAGCAGTGACTCAGAAGACACATCATCTGAAGCAGTGACTCAGAAGACATATCATCTAAAGCAGTAACTCAGAAGACACATCATCTGAAGCAGTAACTCAGAAGACACATCATCTGAAGCAGTGACTCAGAAGACACATCATCTGAAGCAGTAACTCAGAAGACACATCATCTCAAACAGTGACTCAGAAGACACATCATGTGAAGCAGTGACTCAGAAGACACATCATCTGAAGCAGTGACTCAGAAGACACATCATCTGAAGCAGTAACTCAGAAGACACATCATCTGAAGCAGTGACTCAGAAGACACATCATCTGAAGCAGTGACTCAGAAGACACATCTGAAGCAGTAACTCAGAAGACACATCATCTGAAGCAGTGACTCAGAAGACACATCATCTGAAGCAGTAACTCAGAAGACACATCATCTGAAGCAGTGACTCAGAAGACACATCATCTGAAGCAGTGACTCAGAAGACACATCTCTGAAGCAGTAACTCAGAAGACACATCATCTGAAGCAGTGACTCAGAAGACAACATCATGTGAAGCAGTGACTCAGAAGACACATCATCTGAAGCAGTGACTCAGAAGACACATCATCTGAAGCAGTAACTCAGAAGACACATCATCTGAAGCAGTAACTCAGAAGACACATCATCTGAAGCAGTGACTCAGAAGACACATCATCTGAAGCAGTGACTCAGAAGACACATCATCTGAAGCAGTGACTCAGAAGACACATCATCTGAAGCAGTGACTCAGAAGACACATCATCTGAAGCAGTAACTCAGAAGACACATCATCTGAAGCAGTAACTCAGAAGACACATCATCTGAAGCAGTGACTCAGAAGACACATCATCTGAAGCAGTGACTCAGAAGACACATCATCTGAAGCAGTGACTCAGAAGACACATCATCTGAAGCAGTGACTCAGAAAGACACATCATCTGAAGCAGTGACTCAGAAGACACATCATCTGAAGCAGTGACTCAGAAGACACATCATCAGAAGCAGTGACTCAGAAGACACATCATCTGAAGCAGTGACCTCAGAAGACACATCATCTGAAGCAGTGACTCAGAAGACACATCATCTGAAGCAGTGACTCAGAAGACACATCATCTGAAGCAGTGACTCAGAAGACACATCATCTCAAGCAGTGACTCAGAAGACACATCATCTCAAGCAGTGACTCAGAAGACACATCATGTGAAGCAGTGACGCAGAAGACACATCATCTGAAGCAGTGACTCAGAAGACACATCATGTGAAGCAGTGACTCAGAAGACACATCATGTGTAGCAGTGACTCAGAAGACACATCATCTGAAGCAGTGTCTCAGAAGACACATCATCTGAAGCACTGACTCAGAAGACACATCATCTGAAGCAGTGACTCAGAAGACACATCATGTGAAGCAGTGACTCAGAAGACACATCAACTGAAGCAGTGACTCAGAAGACACATCATCTGAAGCAGTGACTCACAAGACACATCATGTGAAGCAGTGACTCAGAAGACACATCATGTGAAGCAGTGACTCAGAAGACACATCTTCTGAAGCAGTGACTCAGAAGACACATCATGTGTAGCAGTGACTCAGAAGACACATCATGTGAAGCAGTGACTCAGAAGACACATCATGTGTAGCAGTGACTCAGAAGACACATCATCCGAAGCAGTGACTCAGAAGACACATCATGTGTAGCAGTGACTCAGAAGACACATCAT